GCAGGAAAAAAATAATAATGCAATTTGATTTCTGACAATAGTTTCGGCCTCGTTTTTTTTACTGACTTAACAAAAGTTTGATGTTATGTTGCTTCAGATTTCTCTTGCTGGATGGTCATCTGTTGGGAGGGTTTTGATTGTGTCTTTCTGCATTGCATAATACAGTTGGACTACATGGTCCTTGGGGTTTCTCCGAACTCTAGGATTCTATGAATCAGTAGAGGCTGGATGGCCATCTGTCAGGAGGGATTTGGTCTTTCTGTATTGCAGAATAGGGTTGGACTACATGGTCCTTGGGGTCTCTTCCAACTCTAGGACTCTATGATTCAGTAGAGGCTGGATGGCCATCTGTCGGGAGAACTTTGATTGTGTATGTCTTCATTGCAGAATAGGGTTGGACTACATGGTCCTTGGGGTCTCTTCTAACTCTAGGATTCTATGATTCAGTGGAGGCTGGATGGCCATCTGTCAGGAGGGCTCTGATTGTGTCTACGCATTGCAGAATAGGGTTGGACTACATGGTCCTTGGGGTCTCACAATAGAGGCTGGGTGGACATCTGTTGGGAGGGCTTTGATTGTGTCTTTCTGCATTACAGAATACGGTTGGACTACATGGTCCTTGGGGTCTCTTCTAACTCTAGGATTCTAAGATTCAATAGAGGCTGGATGGCCATCTGTCAGGAGAGCTTTGATTGTGTCTTTCGTGCATGAGGTTGGACTTGGTTTTTGGGGGTGGGTTCTTCTGATTCCCAAGTTTGACTGCATTGCATTTCATGGGACTGAGAGCACATCTACACTAGTAAAATTAACTCAGTTTGATCCCACTTGAACTGCAATGACTCCATGCTGTGGAACTCTCAGATTTGTTGTCTGGAGAAGGCTTAAATTGGTAAAGCTACAACTCTCATGATTGCATAGCATTGAGCCATGACAGTTCAAGTGACGTCAAACTGGATTAATTCTACAGTGTGGATCAGGCATGGGAAAACTTGGGCTCTCTCTCCAGGTGTTTTGGACTCCAACTCCCATCATTCCTAACAGCCTCAGGCCCTTTCCTTTCCCCCCTCAGCCGCTTAAGCGGCTGAGGGGGGAAAGGAAAGAGCCTGAGACTGTTAGGAATGATGGGAGTTGGAGTCCAAAACACCTGGAGGGCCCAAAATTGTCCCTACCTGGTGTAGATGCACCCAAAGCGATGTATGATGTTCAGGATGCTACAAATGTGAGACTGAAGGATATGCAGTAGCCGCAACCCTGGGATATAATGCGTCCCTTGCTCCTGAGCCAAACTCCAAATCCCATTATAATGCTGCACTTTTACATAACCACATTTATGCTTTATGCTGATCTCTTTAGCGGTGGCAAGCGGCCCAGCGGATGCATCAAAAGAGCCCGCCGTTTGGCCTTTAGAACAGAACGTATCTCGGGAAGCTATAAATACTTTCCCCCGTGGACTCCTGCCCGGTCGAAATTCGCATTTGGATGTGATCCAGGGAGAAAACAAGACCTTAGCGCTCTGGAAACAATGCATTTATTCATTAGGGAGAGGCTTGAGATGCTCCGGTTGATTTATGTATCACATCTATACAGCTCAAGGCACCTATATGCTCCAAACAACCCTGCAAAGTGGGCATCCACACTGGGGAATTAATGCAATTGGACAACCATGGGGGTCAGTGCTATGGTATTATGGGAGTTGTAGTTTGGACAAAGGTGTTTAGCCTTCTCTGTCAAGCTACCATGCAGTACAATGAGCAATACAAATACTCTGAAACAAAACTTTCCAGATAATGCTATCTATCTATCTATCTATCTATCTATCTATCTATCTATCTATCTATCTATCTATCTATCTATCTATCTATTGCATTATCTTGTGTATATGCATGCAGCAGTGTGTCCTTCTGCTTTCTGATTGGCTGCAACTTTCACAGGCCACTGCAACCCACACCAATGACGGACCTGGACCAAACTTGGCACACATAAGCTCCATGACCCAATTTAGGTCCTGGTGGTTTTTGGCAGAGGATGGACCATGGATGATGGGATTTGCAGTACTTTCAATAACTTCAGATCTCACGGATGACTGCGACCCACACCAATGATGGACCTGAACCAATCTTAGCACACATAATCTCCATGACCCACTTTTATGTTCTGGTAGAATATGGGGGAGGATGGACCACGGATGATGGGATTTGCAGTACTTTCAATAACTTCAGATCCCACGGACCACTGCGACCCACACCAATGACAGACCTGGACCAAACTTAGCACACATAACCCCCATGTATTTCCCACTTTTATGCCCTGGTAGAGTATGAGGGAGGATGGACCATGGATGATGGGATTTGCAGTACTTTCAATAACTTCCGATCCCAAGGACCACTGCGACCCACACCAATGACAGACCTTGACCAAGCTTAGCACACATAACCCCCATTATTTTCCACTTTTATATCCTGGTAGAGTATGGGGGAAGATGGACCATGGATGATGGGATTTGCAGTACTTTCAATAACTTCAGATCCCATGGACCACTGCGACCCACACCAATGACAGACCTGGACCAAACTTAGCACACATAACCCCCATATATTTCCCACTTTTATGTCCTGGTACAGTTTGGGGGAGAATGGACCATGGATGATGGGATTTGCAGTACTTTCAATAACTTCAGATCCTACGGACCACTGCGACCCACACCTATGACAGACCTGGACCAAACTTAGCACACATAACCCCCATGTATTTCCCATTTTTATGTTCTGGTAGAGTATGGGGGAGGATGGACCACGGATGATGGGATTTACAGTACTTTCAATAACTTCATTTCTTATGGATGACTGCCACCCACACCAATGATGGACCTGGACCAAATTTGGCACACATACATGCAGGAATATGGAGGGTAATTGCTCTGGGAATCTGGGAGTTGTAGTTCACCCTTATTCAGAGAGCACTAAACCCAGCCTACGTCTGATCTGGACCAAACTTGGGTGATATTACCTAACAACCCAAAACAAACAATGCCTTCTTCCAATAACCTGGGCACTGCCTAGTCCCCAAGCTAATACACACACACACACACATATGCATTTTATATGTGTGTGTGTGTATCGAGCTAGTATATATACACATAATAATGCATTATATATATATATAATGGAGTGTCAAGGGGCATTTTAAGGACACCTTAGGTTTCCTTAAAATGCCCTGCAAGATAAAATGTTTTAAAAATGTATTATATATGTTTGTGTGTGCATGAATGTGTGTGTGTGTGTGTGTGTGTGTGTGTGTGTGTATCTCTCTCTCTCTCTCTCTCTCTCTCTCTCTCTCTCTCTCTCTCACATCAGGCCTCTTTCCTCAAAACCCAAGGTGTCCTTAAAATGCCCCTTGAAACTCCTCAGGCCACCTTAAACCGCGCCACCTTAAGGCAGAGGAGGGGGGCTGTTTTGCGGAGACTCCTCCCCTGATTCGGATTGGCTCGTGAGGAATGTGGGCGTGGCTGTCTCAAAATGTTGGGGCGGGGCTAGGCGGAGAGGGGAGAGGCGGGGCTTGTTAAGTGGCCACGCCCCCTCTACTTGTGCATTCGGAGAGGCGGGGCCTCTTCATGGCCACGCCTCCCACCGCCATTGAAGTGAAGACCAGGGAGAAGGCGGAGAGGAGAAGGGGAAGGCGGGGCTTCTTCGAGGCCACACCTCCTCTGCATCTGATTGGGGAGAGAGGAGAAGGAGAAGGCGGGGCTTCTCCGTGGCCACACCCCCTCTGCATCTGATTGGGGAGAGAGAAGGGGAAGGAGGGGCTTCTTCGTGGCCACACCCCCTCTACGTCTGATTGGGGAGCAAATCAGATTGGGGGGCTTCTTCTTGGCCACGCCCCCACACCTCAATTGGGGAGTGGAGACTAGGGAAAGCCACGCCCCTTTGCTTGTGATGATAGGAACATAAGGGAAGGCGGGGCTTCTCACAGGCCACGCCTCCTTTGTACCTGATTGGAGGTACAGGAAAGCCTAAATCGGCTTGTGATGGAACATAAGGGAAGGCGGGGCTTATCAGTAGCCACGCCCCCTCAATACCTGATTGGAGGACATAATACAAAGGAAAAGCCTAAGTCGGCTTGTAATGGGAGTGAAGATAAGGGAAGGCGGGGCTTCTCAGTAGCCACGCCCCCTCAGCACCTGATTGGCAGAGAGAATACTAAGGAAAGCCTAGTCGGTTTGTAATGGAGTGAAGGCGGGGCTTCTCAGTAGCCACGCCCCCTCAATCCGTGATTGGGTGAGAGAAGATAAGGGAAAGCCCAAATCGGCTTGTGATGGGAGGGAGCGGAAGGGAAGGCGGGGCTTCTCAGTAGCCACGCCCCCTCAATCCGTGATTGGGTGAGAGAAGATAAGGGAAAGCCCAAATCGGCTTGTGATGGGAGGGAGGGGAAGGGAAGGAGGGGCTTCTCAGTAGCCACGCCCCTTCAGCACCTGATTGGAGGAGAGAAGACAAGGAAAAGCCACGTCCCTTATGCCTGTAATGGGTAGTGAATTTAAGGGAGGCGGGGCTACTCAGTAGCCACGCCCATTCGGCACCTGATTGGAGGAAAGAAGACCAGGGAAAGCCACGTCCCTTAAATTTGTGATGGGAGTGAATATAAGGGAAGGCGGGCCTTCTCAGTGGCCACGCCCCCTCTGTACCTGATTGGAGGAGAGAATACTAGGGAAAGCCACGTCCCTTATGCCTGTAATGGGAGTGAATATAAAGGAGGCGGGGCTTCTCAGAGGCCACGCCCCCTCAATACCTGATTGGCGGAGAGAATACTAAGGCAAGCCTAAGCCGGCTTGTGATGGGAGTGAAGATAAGGGAAGGCGGGGCTTCTCAGTAGCCACGCCCCGCAGTACCTGATTGGCGGAGAGAAGGCTAGGAAAGCCACGCCCCCTGTGGCTGTGATCATAGGCGCCCTAGGGGAAGGCGGGGCTTCTCGGTAGCCTCGCCCCTCGGCCCGTGCTTTTGGGGGCCATGCGGAAAGGGCCCCGCCGCAGCAGAGCGGGGATGGGCTCCTCCCAAGAAGGTTTGGCGTTGAAGAGCTTCCCAATCGGAGCCTCCAAGAGGGGGAGGACCCCCAAGCTTTTCCTGCTGCTACTGCTGCTCCTGGCCGGAGGATCCTTCCTGGGCCTTTACCTGTTGCTTTGGGCCTGGGAGGCAGAGCCAGAAGGAGAAGGCCAGGTGAGAGCTAGGGCAGGGATGAGCTCCAGCAGCCCTCCAGGGGGTTTGGACTACAACTCCCACAATTCCTAACAGCCTACCGGCTGTTAGGAATTGTGGGAGTTGTAGTCCAAAACTCCTGGAGGGCCCAAGTTGGCCCAGATCCATTCCTAAGCCTGTAATTCTCTTTCTAGGAGGGGGATCACAAACCCAGGAGTCTGTCCAGCTCTGAGCTGAAACGCCTGGCTTCCCAGGTGGATCTGCAAAGGCTTTGGGGCACTTACCTGCAGCCTTTCCTGGTGGAGAGGTTCCCCGGCAGCCCCGGAAACAAGAAGGTCCGGCAGGTGAGTCATTATCTATCCATATATATATATAATTATTATTATTATTATCTACATATATATTATATTGGGAGGCTCCAGTAGCGCAGTGGGTTAAAGCGCTGAGTTGCTGAACTTGCTGGTTCGAAACCAGGGAGCGAGGTGAGCTCCTGCTGTTAGCCCCAGCTTCTGCCAACCTACAAGAGAGGAGATTCCATCTGAACATGCCTTGCCTGACTTACTGGGCAAGGGCCGTTGCAGCTTCAAACTACAAGAGAGGAGATTCCATCTGAACATGAGGAAGAACTTCCTGACTCTGAGAGCCGTTCAGCAGTGGAACTCTCTGCCCCGGAGTGTGGTGGAGGCTCCTTCTTTGGAAGCTTTTGAACAGAGGCTGGGTGGCCATCTGTCAGGGGTGATTTGAATGCAATATTCCTGCTTCTTGGCAGAATGGGGTTGGACTGGATGGCCCATGAAGCGCACTACATGTAATATTATTAGTATATAATGTATTGTCGAAGGCTTTCATGGCCGGAATCACTGGGTTGTTGTAGGTTTTTTTGGGCAATATGGCTATGGTCTAGAGGCATTCTCTCCTGACGTTTCGCCTGCATCTATGGCAAGTATCCTCAGAGGTGGTGAGGTCTGTTGGAACTAGGAAAGTGGGTTTATATATCTGTGGAATGGCTGGGGTGAGACAAAGGACTCTTGTCTGCTGGAGCTAGGTGTGAATGTTTCAACTGACCACCTTGATTAGCATACAATGGGCTGACTGTGCCTGGAGCAAATTTTTGTTGAGAGGTGATTAGATGTCCTTGTTTGTTTCCTCTCTGTTGTTCTGCTGTTGTAATTTATTTATATTATTATAAATTATTATATTATAATAAATAAATAATAATTTTTATATATAACTGTTATATTACAATTAAAATACGGAATTTGATTATAATTTGTTATTAATAAGGATATATAAATATTATTTTATATGTTATATTTATTATTATAAATAATTAATAATAAATAAATATCATGTATAGATGTTATGACGCAATAAATAAATATTTATTGTAATATAATTTATTATTAATAAGGATATATAAATATTATTTTATGTTATATTTTTTATTATAAATAATTAATAATAAAGAAATTTCATGTATAGATGCTATGGTGCAATAAATATTTATTTTAATATAATGTATTATTAATAAAGATATATAAATACTATTAATAAATAAATACATTTTATGTATAGATGTTATGCAAAAATATTTATTTTAATTTTTTAAATTAATAACAAGAATATATAAATATTATTTTATATATTTGTTATTATAAAATTAATAAATAAATACATTTTATGTATAGATGTTACGCAATAAATATTTTTAATTAATAACAAGGATATATAAATATTATTTTATATATTATATTTATGATTCTAAAATTAATTAATAAATAATTTTATTTATTATATAGATATGTAATAAATAAATATTTTAATATAATTATTAATAACAAGGATATATACTATTAATATTATTTTATTTTATCTATTATATGTATTATAAATAATTAATAGTAAATAAAAAATGTATAAATGTGATATTATAAACAATGTTTATTTTAATTATATTTTATTTTTATTAGTACATTATAGTATAAATATTACATATTTACAACATATATATATATATATTACATACGATTCATAATAATAATATTTTCACCAAAAATATGTATAAATGGGTTATTATATACAATGTTTATTTTAATGATATTTCATTTTTATTAATATATTATAGTATAAAAATTATATATTTACAACATAGATAATATATTGTATTATATTATATGTTGAAATATATAATATTTTACATACTATTCATAATAATAATATTTTTGACCATATTCGCAAAAGCCAAACCAAGGAATGTGTATTCTGAATATTTGCATCTTCTGTAGTAGAGTAAGTTGCTGTAGGAACTCATTGAGGACTAGAACCCTGCATCGCCTCTTGGATTCTAATTCTTCCCATTCTTCTCCCTTCTTTTGCTCCTAGTTCATCACGGAAAGGCTGCAAGGGCTCCCGGCTTCCTGGCACGTAGAGCTGGACTCTTTCCACCAGCGGACGCCTCGCGGGGCCGTGGGCTTTGCAAACGTGGTGGCCACCTTGGACCCCTCGGCTCCTTCCCGCCTGGCCCTGGCCTGCCACTACGACTCGAAATACTTTCCACCGGACGAGAAGGGCAGGGTCTTTTTGGGGGCCACCGACTCCGCCGTGCCTTGCTCCATCTTGCTGGAGCTGGCGACGGCGTTGGATAAGGAGTTGCTGAAGTCCAAGAAGCAGGTGAGAAGGAATGAGGAAAGTCCAGTTATAGACCTGGAAGATGCCCTCAAGGGTCATCCAGTCCAACCAATATTTATATTCTTATAATTAATAATGCATTATAATTAAAATATTTATTTTATTTATAATGTATTATTAATAGGATATATACATGTAATAAATATTATTATTTTATTATATGTATTATATGTATTATAATTAATTAACTTTTATGTAAAAATCTTATATTATAAATAAAATATTTATTTTAATTATAATGTATTATTAATAATAAGAATATAAATATAAATATTATTGTTTTTTATATTAAATTTATAATAATAATAATTAATATCACATTTTTACGTAAAAGCTTTTAATTTATCATTTATAATAATAAATTTAATATACAAAACAATATTTATATTTATATTCTTATTATTAATAATACATTATAATTAAAATATGTATTTTATTTATAATTTATTATTAATAGGATATATATATGTAATAAATATTATTATATGTATTATATGTATTATAATTAACTGACCTTTATGTAAAAATGTTATATTATAAATAAAATATTTATTTTAATTATAGTGTATTCATAATAAGAATATAATTTAAATATTGTTTTTATATTAAGTTTATTATTATAAATGATAATAAAAGCTTTTACGTAAAAATATATTATAAAAATTATTTATTTTTAATTTTATTTATTAATAATGCTTACATGAATATTATTTTATTATATATTATATTATTGGTGTTGTTTTATATTTATTGTTGTTGTTATTATTATTATTATTATTATTATTATTGGTGTTGTTATTTTATATTTATGTATTTTATTTATAATTTATTATTAATAGGATATATATATGAAAGAAATAAACATTATTTTATTATGTGTATTATAATTAATTAATTAACTTTTATGTAAAATGTTATATTATAAATAAAATATTTATTTTAATTATAATGTATTCATAAAAAGAATATAAATATAAATATTATTGTTTTTATATTAAATTTATTATTATAAATCGTAATAAATTAAAAGCTTTTACATATAAATGTGATATTATAAATAATGTATTTATTTTTATTTATTAATTATACCTATATTATAAATATTATTTTATTTTATATTATATTATTGGGGTTGGTGTTGTTTTATATTTATTGTTATTGTTATATTGTTGTTGTTGTTATTGTTTTTATTATTATTTGTGTGTTTGTTGACGAAACCAACCGGCTTCTCTTATAGAGCTCCAGGGTGACGCTCCAATTGGTCTTCTTCGATGGGGAGGAAGCGTTCCGTGAATGGAGCCCCACGGATTCCCTCTATGGGGCGCGCCACTTGGCCCAGCGCATGGCGCAAACCCCGCACCGCCCCAGCGTCAGCCAGCTCCAAGCCATAGTAAGCGATGCAAAGGCTTCGAAACAAGCAGTTGGGCTCATGCAAGGAATCTTTCCCGTGCCTTCCTAAGGATACGAGGGTTGAATGAAAAGTAACACCTCCACCTGAACAACACAACCGTTCAATGCTAAGGCTTCCCGCCAAAATGGAACTGTAGAGGAGAGTCTACTGAACAAGCCAGTACCTGCTGCATACCAGTACTGCCATCTGTTGAGGAGTTACGAAGGTGGAGGCATTACTTTTCATTCAACCCTCGTACATTTAAGATGAGGCATGAGCCAACTTGGATCCTCCGGGTGTTTTGGACTTCAAAAGGCCGAGTGTCGTCCAGTCCCTTCTCAGAGAGGAAGGCCTGGAAGCGGTTGAGGCACGCCGAATAGCACTTCTTTGTCGCCTGTTTATGAGCTGCGGCCAGGATAGGAAGAACCCCTGGACAGAGAGACTTCAGAACTGGATCCTCCACGCTGAAAGGTGAAGAGAAGCAAGGTCGGGGTGGAGAAGCTGGCCCCCCTCTCGGGAGAGTAGATCCTGCCGAAGTGGAAGGCGTCTCATCCGTTCCTCGGACAGCTGGAGGAGGACTGGAAACCACGGTTGTCGTGGCCATTCCGGCGCTATTAGGATACAGTTCGTTTGCGCCAATTGAATCCTCTCTATCACCCTCGGGATGAGCGGGAAGGGTGGAAAGAGGTAGAGCAGATGTTTCGACCAATCTAGAAGAAATGCATCTCCGAGACACCCCGGTACCGCGTTCGGAGTCAGACGTGCGCCGAACTGCGGCAGTTGAGCTTGTCGTCCGTCCCAGCGTTAAAGAGTCCGAGGGTGTCAAAGGGAAGGTCCTCAATGACCTGCCTCGAGGATGTTGAGAGGCCAGAAGACCGGAGCCAAGCATGCCTCCTAATCGCCACGGCGTGGGCGATCATCTTGCCGGCAGTGTCCCCAGTGTGCTTGGCCATTTACATCTGATGATGCGCCAAGGAGTTTGCTTCTTGGGCCAGAGTGGAGAGGACGGTACGATCCTCCTCAGACATTCTTTGGAAAAACGGTGCCGCTTTTTCCCAAAGTATCTGTTGGTAAGCGCCCATGCACGCGCCATAGTTAGCCATCCGAGCTAACAAGAGGGCGCCAGAGTAAAGCTTTCTGCCAACTGCGTCGAACCTCTTCCCCTCTCGATCGGACGGCATTGACGATTGCCTCCCAAACGCCTGAGCCGCTTTAACCACCACCGAGTTGGGATCGGGGTGATGCTTGAGCCACTCCAAGCCCTCATCGTCTGTTCTGTACCATGCCTCTATCTTCTTGGATGTAGGAGGGATGGATGAAGGAGTTTTCCAAGAGCCTTGGATGACCTCGAGGAGATAGGGAAGGAAGGGTAAAAGAGGAGCAGGTGGAGATTCTGACTGCACCCTCTTAAAAACTGGGTCCTGTACTGCTTTGGAAGTCTGCTTGACCTCCAAGCCCAAGGCGTCAGCCATACGAGCCATTTGATCCGCAAAGGCTCGGACATTGTCCGTAGGGGATGGTGGATCGACCTCGTATGCATCGTGGGTAGGTGATCTCTCGATCCCGAGAGACAGAACCAATCCCGAGTGTACCGATCCCGGCAACTCGCCATCTTCCTCTTCCTCCTCGGCAGCAATGGACTGGGGAGGAGGGGACGAAGAAACGTCCCGAAGTGGTTGTTGTGGCAAAACTGTTGGAGGGCCTTTGGATGCTGAGGCCTGAATGGCACGAGCCAATCTCATAGTCTGTCTGCCCCTTTCCGGAGTCTCCGTCACCAGAGAAGTCTCCTGTCTTGCCGTCACAGTTGTCACGGTCTCCTGTCTGGCTGTCACAGATGGAAAAAGCTCCTGTCTGGCAGTCACAAGACGAGCTGGTGCCTCGATCACTGTGTCCACTGAAATCACAGGGGAATCAGGTTGCTCGATAGGCGGTTCTGGCGACCGCTGTAACTCCCGAGCAGGCTGGGAAACCGGCTGGGGTTGAGCAGGCTGCAATGGCGATGACCTCGCCGACGAGGTGGCCGAGGAGGCGGTGGTCTGCTTTCGGGAAGAAGAAGAAGACGAGGATGGAGGCGGCATCGTCTTCTTCTTCTTCGCCGGCGGCTGTGCTGTCTTCGACAGAGACTTGCCCGGGGTGGGCGGGATGGAGGATGAGGTGGAAACACGCCGAGATTCCTCTTGAGCTTGGCGAAAAGCAATGCGAACCGCCGTGGAAGATGGCGGAGTCGCCGATGTCGACCTCGTGGACCTAATTGACCTCACAGACACCACCGAGCTGGTCGAAGAATGCCGGATGCGCACGGTCTCGGTTGTAACCGTGCATGGTTCCTTCTGCTTCGTCGGCCTCGTGGCCTTAGAAGCTGTCGACATAGCTGACCTCGGTCTTTTCTGTGCGGCCTTTCTCGCCCTTGTTTGGCGAGGCTCGACCTGAGTCGAGGGATCGACGGATTTCGAGGTCGACGCCTCCTTCGACGTCGACGACCGAGAGGCCTTGGCCGATGTTGATGGCGACGGCTTGGATTGATGTCGACGGCTTGGTTGACGTCGACGCCGGTGTCGATGTTGAAGGTACCGGAGCCAACGTCTGCTGGTACAAGAAGTATCGAAGCCGATGAACCCGATTTTTACGGGATTGTGCCATCAGCGCTTGACAATGACGACACGAAGAAGTAATGTGTGCCTCGCCGAGACACAACAGACAAAGAGTGTGCTTGTCCAAATCAGGAATTTTCCTCGGACAATTTGCGCATCTTTTAAATCTAGTCGTGGACATATCTAGAAGAATCGAAGTGAGCCGTGCAGCGGAAAAACAGGAATAGAACTGCTCAGTTTCGGAGGACTCAGCAACTTAACATCAGGAATAGTTAACTCTAACTCCGGTAGGCTGTTAGGAATTGTGGGAGTTGAAGTCCAAAACACCCGGAGGGCCCAAGTTGGCCCATGCCTCGTCTTAAATTGATTATATTTATAATTATATTAATGATACCAATAGTATATTATTATTATTATTATCAGGGTTGTTTTCATGCTGTCTCTTCCTCGCAGTCTCTCTTTGTCCTCTTGGATTTATTGGGCGCCAAGCAGCCGACTCTCCGGAACCATTTTCCTGCCACCGCCGGTTGGTTCGAAAGGCTTCTTGGCCTCGGTAAGCGATCAATAATCAATAATCAATAATTGATTATGGTCAGCAGAGCCCTTAAGAAGTATGGAAGAATCACAGGCCTTTTTAGGCATTCTTGTCTCAAAGATAATTCATAGAAGAGAGCCCCAAAGGCCATCTAGTCTAAACCCTTTCTGCCAGGCACAATCAAAGCACTCCCGACAGATGACCTTCCATCCCCATGAAATTTACTAATATATTGTATTTCTATGCCCATTTGTTTTTAAATACATCCCGCTTTGAGCTATCGGTAGAGCCGGGTAATAAATAAAATGTATTATTATTATTATTATTATTATTATTATTTTACCGACACAAAAGCACAGTATGTCACAGCCAACGAGATCTCTATGCTGGATTTCGTATCACAAAATCACAAGTCGAACACTTCCCTAAGCGTCTAGGACCCTGTGATATTATTATTATTAAATTATTATTATTATTATTATTAGAAATTATTATTTCTTCTCCTGATTATTATTATTATTATTATTATTATTATTATTATTATTATTATTATTATTTTGTATTCAGGGATTTCCCAAGCATCTAGGACTGTGTGATTTTATTATTATTATTATTAAATTATTATTATTATTATTAGAAATTATTATTATTTCTTCTCTTTATTATTATTATTATTATTATTATTATTATTATTATTATGTTGTTGTTGTTGTTGTTGTTGTTGTTGTTTTTGTATTCAGGGATTTCCCAAGCGTCTAGGACTGTGTGATTTTATTATTATTATTATTATTAGAAATTATTATTATTATTATTATTTCTTGATTGTTGTTGTTATTATTATTATATTGTTGTTGTTTTCAGGGATTTCCCAATCATCTAGGACTGTGTGATTTTATTCTTATTATTAGTATTATTAAATTATTATTATTAGAAATTATTATTATTATTTCTTCTCTTGATTGTTGTTGTTATTATTATATTGTAGTTGTATTCAGGGATTGAATTATTATTATTATTATTTCTCTTGATTGTTGTTGTTATTGTTGTTGTTATTGTTGTTGTTGTTATTATTATTATTATATTGTTGTTGTATTCAGGGATTAAATGTTTGCCTTTTATGTTTGGAAATCACCCTGAATCTCTCTGGGGAGATAGAGTGGAATATAAATAAAGTAGTGTTGTTGTTGTTGTTGTTGTTGTTACTACTTACTTATTCCAAACTACATTGCATAAATTCAGATCTACTTTGAATCTTATTATTTATTCCAAACCACTTTGGAGGAAGGCAGGGTCGTACATTGAATGGATGGACAAAGGAATAGTTAACTCTAACTGCTGGGGATGATGGGCATTGTAGTCTGGGGTCTTGCCAATCCTTCTATGGGGACTTGTGTGCGCTAAGGATGCCCCAAATGCAGGCATGGGCAAACTTGGGCCCTCCAGGTGTTTTGGACTACAACTCCCACAATTCCTAACAGCCGTAGGCTGTTAGGAATTGTGGGAGTTGTAGTCCAAAACACCTGGAGGGCCCAAGTTTGCCTATGCCTGCATTTGGGGCATCCTTCATGTCTTCTGTCTCTTTCTGCAGAGAAGCGTCTCCATCGTCTTGGTCTCCTGGAGTCCCACCGGGAGGAGCAGATGTACTTCCAACGGGAGCCCTCCTACCACGTCATTGAAGATGACCACGTCCCCTTCCTCCAGAAAGGTACCTCCTCTCCCTTTTTTACGTAATGTACATATATATTTTGTTGTTGTTTATTCTTTCAGTCGCTTCTGACTCTTTGTGACCTCATGGACCAGTATATGTATTTTAATGCACATTAATTGATTTATTAATATTAATACTATTTTCTTTGCGGCTCTATCTTTCCTCCCTCTGTTTCTTTTGTACACTTCTTCCTTTTTTCGTTCTTTCTTTTCTTCTTTCCTTGCTTTCCCTCATACACTTCTCTCGAACGGGGCGCCGGGGCCGCGGCCAGCCCGGGCCGGGGGCGCGCGTCCGCGGGGGCCGCGCCGCCGGCGCAGACAGGGCTGGGGCAGGCCCGTGCCGGCCCGGGGCGAACGCCCGCCTGGGCAGCGGGACGGGGGCCGGCCGGCCCGGCCGGGGGGCAGCCCGCGGCCCCAGGTCGCGACCGCGGGGGCGGCCGCGCCGCCCGGCCCGTCGCGGGCGCACGCCCGGGTCGGGAGCGGGCCGGGCGCCGGCGGCCGGCCCGGGGGCAGGCCCGCGGCCGGCCGCGGGCGCCGAGGCCGGTGGGGGCAGGCCCGCCGCTCGGCCGGCTCGGGCGCTAAACGCGCCGCCGCCCGGCAGGGGCGGCCGGCAGGCTCCGGGGCAGGCCCGCCGCCGGCAGGCCGGGCGCACCGCGCGGCGGGCGGGCCGGCCCGGGGCGTGCCGGCCGGCCTCCCTGTGGCGGCCCTCGCGACGGGGTGGGGGGGTGCAAGGCGCGCCGCCGCCGCCGGCCTGGGGCGGCCCGCGCCACCGGCCTGCCGGCGCCCGGCGCCGGCCGGGCAGGCCCGCGGCTCGGCAGCGGCGCCCGCGGCCGGGCGGCCCCGGCAGCCGCTGCGCCGGGCCGGCCGGGCGCACTCGCGCCACGGCCGGCGGCGTCGGCCGGCCGCCGCCCGGGCTCCGCCGTCTCGGCCCGGCCGCCGGCCGGCCGGCCGGCCGGCCGGCCTGCCTGCCGCCGGCCCGGGGTGTGCCGGCCCGCGGCCGGCGCAGGGGCGCGGGCCGGGCCCGGGTGCAGCCCTCCGCGGCGGCCGGGCGCCGCCGCCTCGCGGCGGCCGGCTGGCCGGCCGGGCCGGCCCGGGCGCACGCCCGGGCGGCGTCCGTCCTGCCGTCCGGGGGGCCGGCCCGTCGGCCGCCGCAGTGGCGCGGCCGTCCCGGGGGCGCAGCCCTCCGCCGGTGGCCGGCCGGGCGCCGCCGCCCCGCGGCGTGCGGCGGGCCGGCCTGGGCCGGCCCGGGCGCACTCCCGGCGCGGGCCGGCCGGACGGCCGGGGGGCAGGCCCGCGGTCCGGCCGCAGGGCGCTGGCCGGCCCGTGGGCGCCCCAGCCGCCGGCCGGCCGGCGCACGGCGCCCCGCCCGTCGGCGGCCAGCGGCCGCCGGCGGCCGGCCCGGGCGCACGCCGGCGCGTGCCGGCCGGCTGCCGGGGTGTCCGGCCCGCGGCCGGCCGCAGGGGGCGCCGCCGACCGGTGAGCCCCGCCGCGGCCGGCCGGGCGCACTGCGCCGCCGCCCGCGGGCGGCCGCGTGCCGGCCGCGGCCGGCCCGGGCGCACCCGGGCGCCGGCCGTCTGGCCGGCCGGGCGGCAGGCCCGCGGCCTGCCGCAGTGCGCGGCCGACCCGGGTGGCAGCCAGCCGCCGGCGCCGGGCGCACGCGCGCCGCCGCCCTCGCGGCGGCCGGGGTCCGGCCGGGGCCGGCCCGGGAGGCAGCCCGGCCGGCCGCCGGCCGCGCCGGCCGGGCGGGGGGCAGGCACCGAGGCGGCCGCAGGGGCGAGGCAGGCCCGGGGCAGCCCCGCGCGGCCGGCCGGGCGCACGCGGCCCGCCCGCGGCGGGCCGCGGCCGGCATGCGGCCCGGCCCGGGCGCACGCCGGCGCCGGCCGGCCGCCGGCCGTGGGGCATGCCCGCTGCCGTCCGCCGTGGCGCGGCCGGGCCCGGGGGCAGCCCCGCCGTCCTCCGGCTGTCCGGGCCGCACGCGCGCCGCCGCCCTCGGCGGCCGGCGGGCGGCGGCTGCCGGCCCGGGCGCACTCCCGTCGCCGGCCGGCCGGCGTCCGGGGGGCAGGCCCGCGGCCGGCCGCATGGGCGAGGCCGTCCCGGGGCACCCCTCCTCCGTCCGGTCGGGCGCACGCGCGCCGCCGACCCGCGGAGTGCCGGCGGCCGGCCGGCGGCCGCCCGGGCGCCACGCCCGTGCGCCGGCCGGCCGGGGGCAGGCCCGCGGCCTGCCGCAGTGGCGCGGCCGGCCCGGGGGCAGCCCCCCTCCGGCCGGCGTGTCGCACGCGCGCCGCCGCCCCGCGGCTGGCCCCGCTGTCTGGCCCGACGCCGCCGTGGCACGCCGGGCGCGGGCCGGCCGGCCGCCGTGGGGCAGGCCCGCGGCCGGCCGCAGGTGCGCTGCCGAACCCGGGTGGCAGCCCCGCCGCCGGCCGGCCGGGCGCACGCGAGCCGGCCGCCCCTCGCGGCCCGTGGCCGTCCGTCGGCCGGCCCGGTGGCACTCCGGGCGCTGTCCGGCTCGGCCGGCCGGCCGGGCGGCCGGCGGCCGCCGGCCGGCCGGCACGGGGTCGTGGGGCAGGCCCGCGTCCGGCCGCAGGCGCGCGCGGGCCCGGGGGGCAGCCCGCCTCCGGCCGGCCTGGCGCACGCCGCGCCTCGCCCCATCGTCGGCCGGCGGGCCGTCCGGGGGCCGGCCGGGCGCAAGCCCGGCGCCGGCCGGCCGCCGGCGCGGGCCGGCCGGCGTGGTGTCGTCCCGCTGCCGGCCGCCTGGTCGCTGCCTGCCGTGGCATCCCCGCCGCCGGCCGGCCTGCGCACGCTCGCCGCCCCCTCGGCGGCCTTCGGTGCCGTGCCGGCGGCCGTCCCGCCACGCCTGAGCCGGCCGGCCCGGCCGGCCGGGGTGCCGGCCCGCGGCCGGCCGCAGGGGCGCGGCCGGCCCGGGGCAGCCCCGCCGCCGGCCGGCCGGCCGTGCGCACGCGTCCGCCGCAGCCCTCGTGCGGCGGCTGGCGGTCCGGTGCCGGCACGGGCGCACGCCGGTCCGGCCGGCCGGCCGGCCGGTGGGCATGCCCTCGGCCGGCCGCAGGGCGAGGCGGCCCGGGTCAGCCCCTCCGCCTGGCCGGGCGGGCGCACGCGCGCCCCGCCCCGCGGCGGGCCGGCGGGCCTGCCGGCGCGGCCCGGGCGCACGCTCGTGCGCCGGGCGGCCGGGGGGGCGCCCGGGCCAGCCGCAGAGGGGCGCGCCGGCCCTTGGGAGCCTCCGCCGCCGGGCCGGTCGGGCGCACGCTCTCCGCGCCCCGCGGCGCCCGCGTGGCGGCCGGCTGCCTGTCCTGGCGCACGCCGGGCGCGGGCCGGCCGCCGGGCCGGGTGGCAGGCCCGCGGCCGGCGCATTTCTCTCGACCGGGGGATGCCCGCCGCCGTCCTGCCTTGCGCCCGGGCGCCGCCCCGCGGCGGCCCGCGGGCCGGCCGGAGGCCGGCCCTGGCTCACGCCGGTGCTCGGCCGGCCGGCCGTCCGTCGTCCGTCCGGCCTGCCGGCCGGGGGGGGGCAGTGCCCTTCGGCCGTCCGCAGGCGCGCGGCCGGCCCGGGGTGCAGCCCGCCGCCCCGGCCGGCCGGGCGCACGCTGCGCCGCCGCCCCGCGGAGGCCGGCGGGCCGGCCGGCGGCCTGCCCGGGCGCCACGCCCTGCTCCGGCGGCCGGCTGGCCGGGGGGCAGCCCGCGGCCGGCGCATGGGCGCGGCGGCCCGGGGCAGCCCCGCCGCGGGCCGTCCGGCGCACGCGCTCCGCCGCCCTCGCGGGCGGCCGCGGGCCGGCCGGCGGGACGGCCCGGGCGCACGCCGGGCGCCGGCCGGCCGGCCGGCCGGGCGGCAGGCCCGCGGCGGCTGCAGTGGGAGTGCCGACGGGGGCAGCCCCGCCGCCGGCCTGCCGGGGCGACGCGCGGCCGCCGCTCCGCGCGGCAGGCGGCCGGCCGGTGGCCGGCCCGGGCGCAAGCCCGGCGCCGGCAGGCGGCCGGCCGGTAGGCCGGCCGGCGGGCGGGGGGCGGCCCGGTTCGCCGGTCCGCAGAGTGCGGCGGGCCGGGCCGGGGGCAGCCCCGCGCTGCCGGCCGGGACCGCAGCCGCGCCGAAGCCCGCGGAGGCCGGCGGGCCGGCCGGAGGCCGGTCCCGGCGCAGCCCTGGCAGGCCGGCCGGCCGGCCGGGGGGCAGGCCCGCGGCCGGCAGCAGGGGCGCGGTCCGGCCCGGGGGCAGCCCGCCGCCGGCCGGCCGGCCGGGCGCACGCGGCTCCTGCCGCCCGCGGCTGCCGGCTGACCGGGCCGCGGCCGTCCGGGCTCAGCCCGGCGGCGGCCGGCGGCGGGTGGCGGCTCCGGGCCGGCCGCAGGGGGGGCCGGCTCCGGGGCAGCCCCTCCTCCGGGCCGCGCAGGCGCACGTCGCGTCCTCCGCCCCGACGGCGGAACCGCGATGCCGGCCGGCCGCCGCCCCGGGCGCACGCAGGCCGCCGGCCGGCCGCAGTCCGGCCGGCCGTCCGGCCGGCAGGCCGGCTAGGACGGACCGGGGGGCAGGCACTCGGCAGGGCCGAAGGGGCGGCGGCCGACCCGGGGGCATGCCCCGCGCCGCGCGGCCGGGCGCACGCGTCGCGCCGCCCCGCGGCGGCCAGCGGCCGGCCGGACGGCAGGCCCGGGCGCACGCCGGGCTCCGGCGGGCACGTCCTGCCTGCGCAGCCCCGGCAGGCCGAGGGGGCTGCCGACTCCGGGGGAGCCCGCCGCCGGCCGTCCGGGCGCACGCGCTGCCGCCGCCCCGCGGCTGCCGGCGGGCCGGCCGTTGGGCGGCCCGGCGAAGCCTCGGCGCCGGCCGGCCCCCGGCGTCCGGCCTGGGGGGGGCGTTTGGGCAGGCCCGGGCCGGGACTCAGGCGGCGGCCGGCCCGGGGGAGCCCCGCCTCCGGCGGCGGGCGGCACGCGCGCCGCCGCCCGCCTGCGGCAGGGCGGGCGGCCGGCTGCCGGCCCGGCGCACGACCGGTACGACGGCCGGCCGGCCGGCCGGGGGGGCAGGCCGCGGCCTGCCGCAGGGGGCGGCCTACCTCGGGGGCAGCCGCTCGCCGGGTCCGACGGGCGAACGCGCTCGCCGCCCCGCGGCTGCAGGCGGGCCGGCCGGGGTCCGGCCCGGGTCCAAGCCCGGCGCCTTCTCGGCCGGGCCGGCCGGCCGGCCAGTCCGGCGGCCCGGGGGCCAGGCCCGAGGCCGGCCGCAGGGGCGCGGCAGGCCGGGGGCAGCCGCCGCGCCGGGGCCGGCCGTGCACGTGCGCTCGTCCGTCCTCGGGGCCGCGGGTCGCGGCAGGCGTCCGTCCCTGGCGCACGCCGTGACGCCGTCCGGTCGGCCGGGCCGGGGGCTAGGGCAAAGCTGCCGGCAGCAGGGTCAGCGGCGGAACGTGTGGAAGCACAGACGCACGGCAAGGACGCAAGTGAAGGAAGGGGCGAACGCGAGCACAGAAGCCCGAGGCCGGACGTCGGGGCAGGCCGGGGCAGGCACGGGAGCAACCCGTCTGCGCCGGCCGGCCGGGGGGGCATGCCCGCGGCCGGCAGAAGGGCTCGGCCGAACCGGGGGGAGCCTACGAGCTGGCCGGACCTGGTCGAAATCGCTACGCCGACACTGCGGACAGGCGGGAAGGTAAGGGGGACGGAAAGTGAGCTAAGTAAAGGTCAAATGAAGGCAAGGCAGGAAGTAAGAGAAGTGACGTCCGGAAGCGAAGGACGGACAGTCAGGCCAGTGTGGTAAGGAACAGGCGTCAGCATGTGTCGATTCATAACCGTGGGAAGCAAAGAAGACGGCATGTAAAGGTAGCACGAGAGCAGTCAGATATAAAAGAGGAGTAGCGCAGGGAGGAAGTATCTTACATGGCTAATAGACCTCTACTGAATTAAGGAAGCGTCCGGCCTTGTTTTAATGTCCCGGTACTAAGCATGTGATCGTGCACCGTGGTAAGACACGACTGAATGCTTCCTTGATCACGCTCTACTACTCACCCTATTCTGGCATTCCAAATTCCGTCTTTACCGGCAATTGACTAAAAGAAAGCTACTCTCCTTCCTTCCTTCCTTTTTTCATTCCCTCTTCCTTCCTCCTTTTCTCTTCCTTCCCTTTTTCATCCCCTCCTCCTTCCTTCCTTCCTTTCTCACTCTCTCCTCCTCCCCTCTTCTTCCTTCTTTCCTTCCTTCTTTCCCTTTCTCACTCCCTCCTCTTCCCATCTCTCCTTTCTCCTTCCTTCCTTCTTTCATTCCCTCCTCCTTCCTTCTTCTCCTTCCTTCCTTCCCTTTATCACTTCCTCCTCCATCTTTCTTCTCAAATAACAACAACAGATAAATCTTGCACTTGCATAGAAGTGTTGTTGTTGTTGTTATTTGGACTTACCTGTGTGTTTTCCTTTGCCAAAGGCGTTCCCGTCCTTCACCTCATTGCCACCCCGTTCCCGCAAGTCTGGCACACGATGGAAGACACCGAAGCCCATCTCCATCCTCCCACCATCCAAAACCTGTGTACAATCCTGGCTGCTTTCCTAGCAGAGTATTTGCACCTATAGATGAAAGGCATCCGTGTAATTTGGACAACCTGAGCCATGATCCAATGGAGACTGTTACACAGAACGATATTCCCCATGGGAATGGGGTGCTATGGGAAAGCCATGAACTGCCACATTGAGCCATGGGTCCTGGAGGAAGTGTTGCCAACCAACCAAGAGGACCACAATCTGTTCAGAAGAGGCCAACAAATGAAAGGACTTCCTTTTTCCCTTGAGATTCTTTTTTTGACAGAACAAGAGGAGAGCCGCACTTGGTCCATCTCTGTTGCAGTCTTTTGCTTGCAAATTCAGCATAAGCTCACTGCTAAAAATAAAAATATTGTGACCAAGTTCCCCTCCAGATCCATTTCAGGGACCTAATTTCATGGCCGAAACCGTCCAAATGCTCCATTTCTTGGTTTCACAAATACCGTATTTCATCGCATAATAGTCGCCTCAGCATAATAGATGCACCCCATTTTTTGAGATGCCCCAGAAATGGTATTTTTGTTTTCCTCGCATAATAGTCGCACCCTCATTTTGTGCTGGTTTCCCTTCCTTCCTTCTTTCTCAGTTTAAAAACTATATGGATATTTCTGGAGCTCCACTCTTCTCTCCTCCCTCCGAGGACTTAAGGTGGTTCACAAAACCTGGAATGGAGTTTTTTGGTGAAAGGAGGAAGGAGAGACGATCTGCACTGCAAAGACCTATGTTTTGTTGTTTTTGAACTACTTTGCCTTTAGAGGAAGGAGAAAGGAGAGAAGAGTAGAGCTCCAGAGACCTCCATTTTATTGTTTTTGAACAACTTTGCCTTCGGAGGAAGGAGAAAGGAGAGAAGAGTAGAGCTCCAGAGATCTCAATTTTATTGTTTTCAAACTGCTTTGCCTTTGGAGAAGGAAGGAAGGGAGGGAGGGAGGGAGGGAAGAGAAGAATCAGTCTGCAGTTTAGCTCTGCAGTTTTTAAACAGGAACAGAGCTATTTGTTTTGAGGCTAGATCATCCCTCTTCCCCTTCCAGAGGTAAGGCATTTTATTTAAAAAGACACTGGAGAAAAAAAAAACCAAGATTTTTTTCCTCGCATAATAGTCGCATCCCTTTGATGGAAAAAAAAGGGAGGAAATGTGACTATTATTCAGTGAAATACGGTATTTAGACTATGATGGAAGCAGTGTGCCCTCCAGGATGGATCTCAACCACTACCTCTGGTGCCATTGTCACATGCAAGGTCCGTTGTTTTTAAATGTATTGTTAGGCCTTGGGGGCCTTTTTCAGAAAGTATGGGAGATAAAAGAGTCAACAATTAACAATTTTTGTCTGGAGTCTCATTGGGGCATAGCACCGGTATAACTCAGGGGGAAACTATTATTCTCTTTGACTTTTTCTATGAAAAGCAGAAGCAAGAACAGGAAAGAGGAAGAAAGATTATATCTATCTATATATCTATCAAAATCCTCTCGTTTTCCAATGTATGCTAACACAGATTAACACAGCTCTCTTTTCATATATATTTCCTCGCATAATAGTCACTCTCTTTTTCAAAACTTCCAAGATCAATCATATCTATCTCCTATAGATTATAGAGATTAATGCAACTCTTTCCTTAGAAACATCAAGAACGTTCATAATATATATGATCTGTAAGATATATATATATATATCCTCGCATAATAGTCGCTCTCTTTTTCAAAACTTGCAAGATCAATCATATCTATCTCCTATGGATTGTATAGATTAATGCAACTCTTTCCTTAGAAACGTCAAGAACATTCATAATATATATTATCTGTAAGATATATATATATATCTCCTCTCATAATAGTCGCTCTCTTTTTCAAAACTTCCAAGATCAATCATATCTATCTCCTATGGATTGTATAGATTAATGCAACTCTTTCCTTAGAAACACCAAGAACATTCATAATATAGATGATTTGTAAGATATATATATTTCCTCGCATAATAGCCGCTCTCTTTTTCAAAACTTGCAAGATCAATCATATCTATCTCCTATGGATTGTATAGATTAATGCAACTCTTTCCTTAGAAACACCAAGAACATTCATAATATAGATGATTTGTAAGATATATATTTCCTCGCATAATAGTCGCTCTCTTTTTCAGAACTTGCAAGATCAATCATATCTATCTCCTATAGATTGTATAGATGAATGCAACTATTTCCTTAGAAACATCAAGAACATTCATAATATATATGATTTGTAAGACATATATATATATATATTTCCTCTCATAATAGTCGCTCTCTTTTTCAAAACTTGCAAGATCAATCATATTTATCTCCTATAGATTGTATAGATTAATGTAACTCTTTCCTTAGAAACATCAAGAACATTCATAATATATATGATTTGTAAGATATATATATTTCCTCTCATAATAGTTGCTCTCTTTTTCAAAACTTGCAAGATCAATCATATCTATCTCCTATAGATTGCATAGATGAATGCAACTCTTTCCTTAGAAATGTCAAGAACATTCATAATATATATGATCTGTAAGATATATATATATATATATATCGCATAATAGTTGCTCTCTTTTTCAAAACTTGCAAGATCAATCTTTTCGATCTCATAGATTGTATAGATTAATGCAACTTTTTCCTTAGAAACGTCAAGAACATTCATAATATATATGATCTGTATATATATATTTCCTCGCATAATAGTCACTCTCTTTTGCTGAATGCCAAGAACATTCACACACACACACATATATATTTATATATATATAAATCTTACAGATCATACTGTCTTTAAAACATCAAGAACATTCTCTCATATATATATATATATATATATATATATATATATATGATATCTTACAGATTGTGTATATTAACATCTGCCTAAAAACTTCAAGAACATTCATATATATATATATATATATATATACACACACACACACTCACAAATCTTATGTATTAATAGTTTTCTAAAAACTTCAAGAGCATTTACATATACATACACACACACACACACATATATATCTTACAGATTGTGTATATTAACATCTGCCTAAAAACTTCAAGAACATTCATATATCTATAGATCTATATCTTGCAGGGTGTATATATTACCACAGCTCTCTTTAAAAAGTTCAACATACACATATATATACATGCACACACTTTCAGATCATACGTATTAACACAGCTCTCTTTAAAAACATCAAGAACATTCATATAGATAGATAGATATCTTATGCATTCTATATATAACACAACTCTCTCTAAAAACTTCAATAACTTTCATGTAAACACACACATACATATATATATATACACACTTCTTAACAGATTGTATATATTAACACAGCTCTCTTTAAAAACTTCAAAATCATATATACAAACGCACTTATAGATATAAATCTTAAAGTCAATATGTGGCCATCATGCCCATTCTTTGGCTGCATTAGTTCATTCACTTGCAAAATGTATGCTAATCAAGGTGGTTGAAACATTCACACCTAGCTCCAGCAGACAAAAGTCCTTTGTCCCGTCCTGGTCATTCCGCATATATATAAACCCATTTTCCTAGTTCCAACAGACCTCACTACCTCTGAGGATGCTTGCCATAGATGCAGGCGAAACGTCAGGAGAGAATGCCTCTAGAACATGGCCATATAGCCCGAAAAAACCTACAACAACCCACTGTATGCCATACCTTTGCCACAAGGAGGCAGCATCAGCACAGAGATGGGCCAGCATGAAAAACAACAAGGCAATCTTTTTGTGGGAATAGTTTTGGGCATCCTAGTTTGGAAAAGCACAAAGCCCTGCAGCCCAAGGATATATCTATGGGGATATGATGACCTCCTTTGTATTATAATATATTCCACAACAAATATTGCAGAAAACAAATAATATAAATACATTTAAATAAATAAACAAACAAACAAACCACGAAGACTGGAGCATGCTGGACATTGTAGTCCAAAATGTAACATTTTCCATTTGCTTGCAAAACTGTTTGAATTCCAGACAATAGCTATTATGGAAAAGGAACAGCATATATACATACATATATACACATACACACGCATATGTATGCATATATATATATGTGGGGGAGGGAGGTTTATATATATGGGGTGTGTGTGTCTCTCTGTGTGTATATACACACACACACACACACACAGAGTATATATATAATCAAATTCTATAGCTGTATGTGTACATATACTCACACACACACACACACACATATATCTTCCAATCTAGCAGTTCAAAAATATGAAAATGTGAGTAGATCAATAGGTACCGCTCCGGTGGGAAGGTAATGGCGCCCCATGCAGTCATGCTGGCCACATGACCTTGGAGGTGTCTATTGACAACACCGGCTCTTTGGCTTAGAAATGGAGATGAGCACCACCTTCCAGAGTCTGTAGAGTTAATGTCAGGGGAAAATCTTTACTCCCCCCCCCCCATATATAATATACTTTACTATATATTGTGTGTTACATGCATACATACATATGTGTGTATATGTGTATGTATATGAAGGAGCTGGGAGTGGTGACGGCCGACAGGGAGCTCTGGTGTGGGCTAGTCCATGAGGTCACGAAGAGTCGGAGACGACTGAATGAATGAACAACAACATGTGCTGTTCCTTTGATAGGTAATTAATATTATATATATTGTCCTTCCACATCTAATATATATTCAATTAAAATCTATGGCTTAGTTCATCTTGGTCAGAGCAATTGGAAAACTCCATCCATGGGTGCATCTGCACTGCAGAATTAACACAGTTTGGCACCACTTTCTGGTGCCATGGCTCAATACCATGGAATCCCAAGAGTTGTAGTTGTATTTGGCAGAGAAGACTAAAGACCTTGTAGAACTACAATCCCCATGATTCCATAGTGTTGGGCCATGGCAGTTCAAGTGGTACCAAACTGCATTGCTTTGGTAGTGTAGACGCACCTATAATAATTCAATGAAACTCGAGAGAAGAGGAAAGCTATATTTGCTTACAGGAACTAGGGGTCCGATTTATAATTTGCCGCCACAGCCCTCTGGATTCTCACTTTTTAATTAAAGACAAACCTCGTTCCCTAATTAAGAAGCGAGGAGAAACTCAAGCCGGGGGCAAACAGTCATTGAATGAAAAAGGAAACGTGTTTCGACCGAGGATTATTCAGAGCAGGGAACCCAGAGGCATTTCGAGCCATGAAGAGCAAACGAGTGTCTATGTGGAACCAAAAAAGCACCATCTATATACATAAAAATGTAATGTTCGTTTGTGGGATTAACATAACTCAAAAACCACTGGACGAATTGACA